TGATGGTAAGATAAGATATAATTTGTATAATAACACTAGTCGGTTGTGATGTGCCGGAACCGACAATGCAGTAGGTCTGTAATAAAGAAGGCCTACCTTAGAGGGTGATGTAAATAAAGGGAGTGGTGGGAGGGGTAACGGTAAAGTGGAAGAGGATTGGAAGCCCTTATAAAGGGGACCCAAGCCCCTCCTACAACTACAGGCCCAGCCTTAAATTTGTGGTCAGGGCAATATTGCCGTGATGGTAAGATAACATATAATTTGTATACAATAAAACATAGTTAATAACAGGGCACCATTTATTATAGGCAGGGAAAAAAGGTATGTCAACTGTGCGTCCCATCTGGCTAGTTTTAGAGTGAAAGAAGGTAATGGTCTATGGATTTGTGGATATTGGTTATTTTAATGTAGTCTGTGGCCGTTACATTACTGGTGGTGAATTCCCTTGGACGTAAGTATCCATAAAATGACTGTTTTAAGTCCCATATTGGTCATATGTTCGAAAGGAGCTGTATCTAACAAATTGGATAATATTTGGTTGGAATATTTTATTTTGGATGGGTAGTCTTTGAGGGGGTAGATGTGTATCTGTTTTTTGGATTCCCTTCAGCAAAGTTTTAATCTGGTATGATGAAAGGAATCCTGTTTTATTAGGGTGTTGTAAAAGCACGTGGTGTTTAATGCTCGTTAGATAAAGTTTGTTTATGTTAAAAGATAATTTTAAGTTAAGGTGGCAAAAAGAAGTGAACCCCAAAATAGTCTCCAAAGTAAACATGTCCTGAACTTGAAATTCCGCTATGAACTTGGTGAAAATGTGAAAAGCCCTACCATAGGTTTTTCTAGAGTTAAAGTGCAAGGTGGGAAAGATTACGTGCATGAGTCAATAAAACGTCTAATCCAGGAGCATATCTTAAAATGAAGGGGCAGGGGTAGCGAGCCGGGAAGTGGTGGGCAGAGTCTGGAGGAAGGCCTGAAAGCGAAACCAAGACAAGTGGTCAGCTGATATATTTGTGACCCACGGAATGTGAATACAGGTGCTAAAAAATAGGCAAGTGGCCGCTACCCATGTGAGTCTCCTTAAAAACCTCATAATTACTGTGATGGACCGCCTGGCACCCCAACGGGGTGCCTCCGCCAATCGATGCTCCTAGTGCTCACCGAGTACTTCCAGCACTCCCCCAGACACCATCAGCACTGTAGTCCCCATTTCCAGCATTACAGCTTGGGTGGAGTCTTGCTGTCCTCCACCCACCCTGGACTCAAGACCAGGATCCAGCTTCCAGTGGGTAGACCTCTCCTAGTCCAGAGAGCAAAGCAGGCTGCTCTTACAAGAGCAAGTGATTATAATCCTCGGGGATGTATAGTGATATAGCAATCCCCAGGGTAGATACAGCCATTTCCCCCACACATGAGATGAGACTCTATGTGGAACTCATTTAATGGCAGCCACAACTGGCTTTATATGCAAGTCCCCATGCAAGGGGCACTCTCCCCTGGACCTGAGAGTACACCACAGTATAAACAATTACACAATCACATTGGCTCTCAGATCCAGGACACTCCCATACATAATAAAATAATCCCTCCTCTGTACCTGGGAGATAATTGGATCAGCAACTGTACTAATCTAATCCAATTATCTCCAAGCACAGAAAGACCTGTAATACCCCAAAAGTACCCCTAAAACACATGGAAACCCCACAAAGGTCATATGCTCTGATAGCCCCGATCTGGGGGACCAACATATCTAAATATCACCCAGATCGGTTTAGGGGTTCAGGATTTCCATGGAAGTCATCTTGACCGACTGTGCATATGGTCCTATGCCCAAAACAGTTCCAGGGAATTAGGGCCAACGGTCGGTCTCTCCCTATCGAGTACAAAAGTACAGAAATCGCATACGTTTTTAAAAGGGCCCATAGTCTTTTGGCAGGAGGCTGGCAAGCAGGTTCCTCCAAGAACACGTGGCAGAGGCATTTCTGTCACACATCTCCCCCCCCCCCCAAAGGAATACTAAGCAGGCACCTGACCTGCTGCCGGTTGGTACCTGAGTTAGTCGGGCAACGCACCCAAAAACAATTAGTTGGCCGAGTAGCCTCCAGTGCCAGGCTCTGTCCTACAGATCCATGGCTGCTGAATAGGTGTCCGTCACCCCCGGTCTCTCTAGTACTCCCAGTTATAGCATTGTGGTTATTTGGTGGAAGTCTAGTATGAGGCCCTGGAGGGTATACAGTATTGGCGGAGCGAGAGTCTCCCCAGTGAGGAGCAGCGGCTACAGATGTGAGTGGCGATGCGGATGCTTCTCTTTGGAGAGCAGCCTCTGGAGGAGTGGGTGACGGAGCTTGAGAGTCTGGTATGGAAGGAGCTTTGGTTGGACGACGCATACAAGACGCTTTGGTGGTTCGGCATACACCCTGGATGGCTGAGCACGACAGACCCGAAGGTGAGGATTACAATGGCCCTGGCCTGTTGTGGGAGTCCTTCACAGAACCGGTGTTTGGAAGTACTGGAGAGTCCCGTTTCTGGGACATCTATGAAAACAGGAAGGGCATGCATGATTGGGTGGACGCTAACAAGGGGACACAAGACCTGACATCTCTGGCGACAATGGAGTGGGAGCTGGAGCAGGTTTATCAACACCTGTTTAGCTCAATTTGACCCCAAACTACCCTGCAAGGAGAGCTGGGTGGCAAACCCAGACCTGTCACCCTACAGCTGGGAAGACCCGGCTGAGGTATCCCTTGCTTCACTACCAACTGCCGAAGTAGGGGACCTCATAGACTGGTCCTGAGAAGACCTCCAGGCAGCAGGTGGAGATGGGACCAAGGTCTCTCCACCGGCCCTACAGGGATGCTGGGCAGCCGGCCCAGATCCCCAACTGCAGCCAGAAGTACCAGGAATAGGGGCAGTCGGTCCTACTCCGCAGAGGCAGTGTACCATGCAGGGAGAAGAGACAACCGGTCTCTCTCCCCAGCGGCAGCCAGAGTTACAGGGAGAGGAGATGATCGGTCCCTCTACCCACAGTAGAAAGCATCCTGGGGAGTTGAGGCAACTCAATTATATAACTTTTTTTTTTCTTTGGTTTTTACTATATGTATTTTGGCTGATGTGTACTATAGTCATTGCTGCTGCCCAGGAGTAATGGGAGTTTAAGTGCAGGACTAGTTTCTTTGTATTTGTATTCACTTTTGTATCACACAGCTAGGTTGCAATGCTGCTGCCCATCCCATGTGTTCCTTATTAAGGTTTAATAAGCATGTAGGGATGTATATAAAAAGTACCCCTTTCTGTCTCATTAGAGATATTTTTGCCAGAAGCTCAAGGAAGCAAGGCGAATGGTTAGAGTTAGGACCCACCTAAGAGGTCTGCCTTGACGTGGCACGTGGGCATACCCTCTCATGGCCATTGGAGGTAACTAAAAACCTCCATTTGTTTAAAAATACATAGGGATGTGGAAAGAGCGCAGGTAACTTTTTTTTCTTTGGTTTTTACTATATGTATTTTGGCTGATGTGTACTGTGGTCATTGCTGCCGCCCAGGAGTAATGGGAATTTGAGCGCAGGTCTAGTTTCTTTGTGTATAAATATAAATACATATTTATAATCTTTAGGCCATATATGCAATCCACATTTGAAGAGCACTTGTACGTATTTTGCAGAAATTCCCTAATGTATTGAATTGCAACAAACCCTATTTAGTTTTTTTGGTTTTCAAAGATAAGCAGCTCCCAAAAAATATGAGTTAAATAAAACTAGTATATGCAACACAATCATAATGATTCACTAAAGTGACTTGAAAGTGACTTTAAATTCAAAGCCCAAATAGCCAAACTGTGCTGTATTAGAGAAATTTTCTAGTTTGGCTATATTGGACTTAAATTTGAAATTTACTTTCAATTATTATTATTATTATTATTTTATTATTTATATAGCGCCATCACATTCCGTAGCGCTGTACATTGGGTACAATTCACTTTTAATTGACATTTCCTGGCTAATCATGGCAGCATCACTTATGGGTAGCTCCGCCCTAATCAGGAACAGGACAGGATAAAATCAATTAATACGGACCAGACTGGGTATAAAAGGTCCCTCCTCCTTCTATCCCACAGTCTTTTTTCCTGTCCTTTCAGGACACACAGGATATTTTATTTTGGGCCACCTTCCCATGTGTACCATGGGCCTCCAGATGAAGTTCAGCCTCTCTTCATCTGAAGAACTCAGTAAACAGCCTGCACGGGCAGGACTAACTGAGTTTAGTACAGATTAGCATCTGTACTATTATGGGAGAAAAAAGTTCAATCCATTTTGATGTGGGGTCGGCTGTTGCCTTAAAAATTCCCCTTATGGCATCTAACCCCCCCCCTGATCTGAGGTCAGTACTGGGGAGAAGCTAGAGTAAGTCTTTATGTGGTAGTTTTTCTTTTCTTTGGGGTTTAGAGATTGCTGGGGGTTATACTCTCAGTTTCCTACTATTTCTTTGTGGAATACAGTGTAGAGAACTTCCTCTGGCTTACCTGCATCAGTTTTCCTTTCAATCTTACTCTTCTGTGCAGCATGATGCAGGAGCTTCATTCCGGACTGTCTCTTCTCTGTTCGGCTGTCCGGCGCATGCGCAGTTCCGACGGCGTCCGGCGAGTGTTCTGCGCATGCGCGGAATAGTTGCGCGCTTAAAGGGATATCGCGCCAAAAAAATGAAAATTTTAAAAATCACTCGAAATTGATCCTGACTTCTCCTATGATCTTCTGATGATAAGGAAAGCTGCTCTTTTCTTTCAGAATCTGGTTAAAAGGTAAAAAATCCTATTTTATTTGTATTATTAATTTTTTCTTGCTGCTTAAAAATTTTTTCTCTTCTACAATAAGCATATTATTATTCCAGATGGCTTCTCCCTCTGCCTCAAGATCTCGCTCTAGAAGACATAGGTGAGCCGCATATACTCTATTTGGTTAAGGGGGGAAAAGAGTGCCATTACAGGCCTATAATATAAAGTATATTGGCCTTTTATTTCAGCCCAGAAAAATCTCAAGAGGATTCTCCCAGAAAATATAGAGAAAAATCCAACAGATGTGCAAACTGCAACCAAGTGGCTCCTCCGGGAAATAATTTGTGCAGATCTTGCCTGACGGAAGCAGCGAAAGACTGGGGTGAGAAAAGTTCCCCACAAGCTGACTTAAAGAAATGGATTTCAGAAGCTATAGCTGAAGGGTTTAAATCCTCTAGTAAGATGGCTATCCCCAAGCGTCCCAGAGTGGAAAGCTTGGTAGAATCAGAAGAGGAATCTGATATGATGGAAGACTATTCAGAGGAAGAAGAGGATGAGTGTGACTCAAAATCTCTGGACTCCAGGTCTGTGGATAAGTTGGTTTATCTTATCAGAGACACGTTAAGAATTCCTGAAGAAAGCAGGGAGAAGAAGGAGTCTGACAGATACTTTGAAGATCTAAAGCCTAACAGACCCACCTTTCCAGTTCATTCAGCCATCAAGGAGGTAATAGGTGCAGAATGGAATAGACCTGAAAGGAAGGTGACTCTAAAGAGCAAAGTCCCCAGATTATACCCGTATGCACCTGAAGACTGCAAATCATGGATTTCGATTCCGAAAATTGATGCAGCAGTAATTCACATGGCGAAAAGAACAACTCTTCCCATAGATTCAATGGCATATTTAAGGGAGCCAATGGAAAAGCGATTGGACGCTGACCTGATTAAGGCATACCTATCCCTGGGATCGGCATTACATCCAGCCATCGCTCTCACCACTTTGTCCAGAGCTCTTAAAATATGGGTTGACAATCTAGAAGAGGATATTGCTAGTGGAGTCCGTAGAGAACACCTGATGGAGGGCCTTAAAGATTTAAAACTGGCCACAGAATTCTGTTCTGAAGCTTCCCTGGATATTACGAAAATGGTAGCTAAAAGTATGGCTCTGTCAGTTGCTTCTAGGAGAGCATTATGGCTTCACTCTTGGGGTGCAGATTACGCCTCTAAGGCCTCTCTATGTGCGCTTCCTTTTCAAGGGGACCTTCTGTTTGGTAAAGTCCTGGAAGAAGCGATCCATAAAGTAGCAGATGGGAGAAAAGCTTTTCTTCCCCAGGGGAAGAGAAGATTTAGTGCTTCCTACTGGAAGGATAAGAAGTTCAGAGACCGATCCTTTCGAGATGTCCGGGCATATAGACCCGGAAGAGAATACTCCAGGAATTCTAATTGGAGAAACTATCAGTCCTCTTCATCAAAACCAGTTAGAGGAAGAGGATCTAGACCAGCTAATAAGAACTTCTGAACGTTTGCTGGCCCAGCCAGATGTTATAGGAGGCAGACTTCGCTTCTTTTATCCGGTTTGGGCCAAAAGTATTCAAGATTCTTGGGTTCTTTCTATCATCAGGGAAGGATACAAAATAGAATTCAAAGAATTCCCTTCTCAAACCTCCTTTATCCGTTCAAGAGTGGCAAGAGGAAGAAAAGAAGTTGCTCTGAACAACATTATTTCTCAACTTCTACAAAATCAGGTCATAGAGAAAGTCCCTTACAGAGAACATTACAGAGGCCACTACTCTACGATATTTTTGGCCCCAAAACCTCAGGGGAAATGGCGTCTAATTCTGGACCTAAAAGTTCTGAATACATATCTGGTTCCAAGAACGTTCAAAATGGAGTCCATTTCCTCAATTCTGCCCAATATAAAGACGGGGACCTGGATGACTCTATCGATCTCAAAGATGCCTACTATCAGATACCTATTCACGTCAGTCATCGCCGGTTTCTGAGGTTTTGGATCTCGGGGGATCACTATCAGTTCAAGGGACTTCCTTTCGGCTTAAGTCTGGCGCCCAGAACATTCACGAAAATTCTTGTTTCGCTGGTGGCCTTTATAAGGATGAAGAAAATCGAGCTTTTTCATTATCTGGACGATTTTCTGATCGTAGGTCCTTCCAGTCAGATAGTAAATGTCCACACGTCAATAACCATCAAATGCCTTCAAGATCATGGTTGGCTGATCAACCCCAAAAAGAGTTCTTTAGTGCCTTCTCAGAGGATAATTTTCCTAGGAGCAAATATAGACTCGGTGAAGGGCCTGGTATCACTGTCTTCAGACAGAAAAGAACGAATAGTGAAGCAGATCAAAAGTCTGCGTCAAAAGTCCTACATCACAGCAAGAGATTTCATGAGCCTGTTAGGGTCTCTTACTTCCACAATAGGCCTAGTGAAATGGGCCCAGTGGAGGATGCGACCCATTCAGAGGCATTTTCTCTTACAGTTCAAAGCAAAACCCGGAAATTGGGATCAGAAGATTCGTTTTCTCCCGAGAATTTCGAAAGAGCTGTATTGGTGGACAAAAGAAAAAACCTCCTTTGTGGTTTTCCCCTGGAAGAGCCGGTTTGGATAACTATAACTACAGATGCCAGCCTCCTGGGATGGGGAGCACACCTGAACAACTCTTGGATTCAAGGAACTTGGTCGTGGAAGGAGTCAAAACTTCATTCGAATCTGAGAGAAATGAGAGCGGTTCTCAAGGCATTAATAGGGTTCCGTCCTCTATTGAGGGATGCCTGGGTGAAGATACATACAGACAACAGAGCAGTAGCTTCCTACATAAATCATCAGGGAGGCACTCGAAGCTATTCTCTACTAATGGAATTGTCCCCAATAATGAGGTTTGCGCAACTTCATTTACAAGGATTAAAAGCGATTTACCTTCCGGGACCAGAGAACTTATTGGCGGATTATCTCAGCAGAACAAGGATTCTACAAGGATAATGGAAACTGCACCCAGAATTATTTCACTTGATCACCCTGCGGTGGGGAGTACCCCAGATCGACCTGATGGCTTCGTTCAACAACACTCAGGTGAAGAGGTTTTACTCCCTACATGCGGATCATCGAGCAGAAGGACAGGATGCCCTGTCTCTTCCATGGGAATTTGATCTGGGGTACGCGTTCCCTCCCCTACCAATGATTTATCGACTGCTGAGAAAAATATGGAAGGAAGGTCTCAAAGTCATCGCCATCATCCCAATCTGGCCTCGCAGACCTTGGTTTCCCCTGCTGAACAAGATGAGCCTAGAACCTCCTTGGCCTATTCCTCTCAGACCAAACATCTTAATCCAGGGACCAGCTGTTCATCCCAACCCCAGCCAGCTGAAATTGGGGGCATGGCTCTTGAAAAGGAGAGACTACTAGCTCAAGAGATCCCAGAAGATGTGGTAACTACTCTCCTTAAATCCAGAAAAGTATCAACTTCTTCCTGCTATCATAGGATTTGGGAAGTTTTTCGTTCCTGGTCTCAAGACAATAATGTGGATTTTCTTCAGCCGTCTAACATCAACATTCTACAATTTCTTCATACAGGTCTGGAGAAAGGGCTGAGTCTTAGTACTCTAAAAGTCCAATCATCGGCTTTATCTGCTCTCTGCAACAAGTCTTGGGCTTCGGATCCTCTAATTGCTAGATTCTTTAAAGCAACCATCCGTATAAGACCTCCAAATAGGAACTACACTCCTCCGTGGAATTTACCTATGGTTCTAGAGGTATTGTCTGAAAACCCCTTTGCTCCATTAGATGAGCTGGGTATCGTCTTATTGACATATAAGACCTTGTTTTTGGTGGCTGTTACTACTGCAAAACGCATGTCGGAAATTCATGCATTTTCCTGTGATGAAAATCACTTTCAGATATTCCACGACAGGGTGATCTTGAGACCCAGACAAGAGTTTCTGCCGAAAGTTGTCTCGAATTTCCACATCCTACAGGAAATTGTTATTCCTTCCTTTTATCCATCTCCTTCTACTCCAGAGGAAGTGAAACTTCACCAATTGGATGTCAGGCAGTAAAAACAGAACAATGAGTAAGCGCTAACCAATATATAGGCAGCAACCCTGTAAGGGAATCCCTCAAAAACCCTTAGAATGAGAACTGAAAAAAGTAAAAAGAAGGTAAGGGCTGCGCCAAAGGAAACTGGAAATAACAAATAGTCCAAGAATGTAAGAAAAAATATAAAAATATAAATATGAAAATGTAAATATATAAGAAAGTCTTATCTAGAAAAGTCTTGTCGTAATCGTAGAGTCTATGTGGGCTTGATCCAGTGCGATGATACTTGGAATAATCCTCAATAGGAGTCCATAGGTATATGTAAAATAAAATAAAAATAGAGACCCAAATAGTGCAATATGCTAGAACAAAAAGAATAATAAAAAAATAGAAATAAAAACTCACATTTACCAGAGCGTAAAACTCGCTCCGGTATAGAAGGCGTTCAGCGGTATGATCCCCGCTTGCAGGATATACGGTGAGTCTCCTCCGTTAGCGATGTGTCCAGTACTCAAATAGAAAGAGACAACCAATAGTGTACACTGAGTTAAAATAAAATAAAATAACATAAAAAATGGGTACTCACAAGACAGGAGCAGAACAACTGCTCTTAAACATAGGCGCTGGTGGTATAATCCCCACCTAGGATTGCTTGGAGTCCGGGATGTAGAGAAGAGTATTAAGATCTTCTTAATACTTCTAGATACCCAGTGAAAATGTTGCACAACTCTGCTTCCTGGCTGCTTGCAGGGACTCTGTAACGCTTCTGCCCCAGACGCCACAGCTTCACGGAGGTCCTTCTGGAGATTTTGCACACGCCTAGGCAGCAGCTCTACTTTCAGGCAGTTAACTGGGGGACGATAACTGCCTGAAAGTAGAGCTGCTGCCTAGGCGTGTGCAAAATCTCCAGAAGGACCTCCGTGAAGCTGTGGCGTCTGGGGCAGAAGCGTTACAGAGTATACCTATGGACTCCTATTGACGATTATTCCAAGTATCATCGCACTGGATCAAGCCCACATAGACTCTACGATTACGACAAGACTTTTCTAGATAAGACTTTCTTGTATATTTATATTTTCATATTTATATTTTTATATTTTTTCTTACATTCTTGGACTATTTGTTATTTCCAGTTTCCTTTGGCGCAGCCCTTACCTTCTTTTTACTTTTTTCGGATGTCAGGCAGTGCCTGCTTAAGTATATAGAGGTTTCTACTCAATTTCGGAAGTCTCAACAGCTGTTTGTTCTTCCGATTGGTCCCAGAAGAGGGGAGGCAGCCTCTACTTCCACCTTGAGACGTTGGATCTCCAATACCATAATCAAGGCTTATCAGTTGAAAGACCTTGTTCCTCCTAGTAGGATCAAGTCACACTCTACAAGGGCTTTAGCAACATCATGGGCTAATTGGGCAGAAGTTCCATCTGACGACATCTGTAAGGCAGCTACATGGTCTTCTCCTCTCACTTTCATCAAACACTACAAACTGGATTTGGCATCTTCCTCTACGGCTTTTGGTAGAGGTGTTCTGTCCTCTGTGGAATCTATCTAAATTAAACTTTTTCAGCATTATCTGGTTTGGAGTTTTATTTTTTTTGTTTTGTTTTTGGAAATTCCCACCCTATGGTGAAGCTTGGGTATTACCCATAAGTGATGCTGCCATGATTAGCCAGGAATACAGAAAATTTTATCATGCTTACTGTAATTTTCTTTTCCTGGCTATTATTCATGGCAGCATCAGCAACCCCCCCTTGTTATCAGAGTTAGCTTTGGAACTAGACTGTGGGATAGAAGGAGGAGGGACCTTTTATACCCAGTCTGGTCCGTATTAATTGATTTTATCCTGTCCTGTTCCTGATTAGGGCGGAGCTACCCATAAGTGATGCTGCCATGAATAATAGCCAGGAAAAGAAAATTACGGTAAGCATGATAAAATTTTCTGTATTATTGAATAAGTCTGTATATGCTATCAATCATAACACTTTTTATTACAGATAGTGCTCTTCACTAAGCTCTAAACTGTGACAAATGTAAATTTGAGTGGCAAAATATAGGGTAAAACAGACAAAATGGAAAACAGTCCCTTAATATTTCTATTCATATTTCAATTCACTACAATTTGAAATCTAGTGGACAGACGTGTTTTTATATCTCCTAGATCCTACTGATTTTGTAGGTGGAATGCCTTTCCAGTATTAGTGTCCATTGGTATCAAGTGGTGACAATATATTACCAATTTATTCAGTCCTCAATTAAATTGCAAGCAGGTAAATAGCAGGAAAAGTCGCTATTTAGAGTAATTAAAAAATCATAAGGGCAATAATAACATCTATACTAAAATCTTATTTAATGTTAACTCACTTTAACCATTTGGAGAACATTTTGATAATAATAGAGAGTAAATATGGTTTTCCAGTAAATATATTTTAAAATGTTATTTTAAACCATATTTTCAATAATGATAGCCTATTAATAATTAATTTTCAATAACTGACGGCCTGTTTCCAAGCCTGTCCATGTGGAATAACTCCTGAGAAGTGGAGGTAAGTTATACTTACCTGATGCTGTCCTTTCTCCGTCCTTCTTCAGCAGCTGGAGTTTCATCAGCCTGGAGCTCACGTCAGTGCTATATGCTCCCTCATGCATGAAAGTACAACACTCATGTTTATGGAGGATCTGCTGTAGATATTATCTCAAGATCATCTTTGTGAAATGCTCACTTTTTTGGGGGTGGATGGCAGAGTCACTTTAAATCAGATGTATATGGTCGTGGGACACCCTGCTCTCCTGCTTCAGCTTATCCTTGTATTAAAATGTATTTACAGTGGATGAAAGGGTCTGAAGAGTAAAACTTGTACTTGCATTTTATAAATTAATGAACATGTCTTTCCACAAGAACTTCATTGAGCCTTCTGGCAAAATCAACTTCCTTCTAGATATAGAGATGTTACCACCCACATAATAGTATCCACCTTTTCTAAATATTATTTTGTCATGCAACTCTGGATAGGCATATATATTATGCTCTTCCCTGTCATGGAATACAAGCACCAGACTAAAAAGTAGGGATAGACCGAATATCGGTTTGACCGATATTATCGGCAAATAGTACGGATTTTGGCAAATATCGGTATCAGCCACTATTGATACCGATAATAGGAGAGGCGGCAGTGGGTCAGCGCACGCAAGGTTGGCGCGTCCATAAGGGGGAACTATAGGGCGCACCAGCTCTGGGGGCGCAAGAATCGAGTGACCGTCAGGAAGGAAGAGCACAGTGCTCCCCCTACCAGTCACTCAGTATAGCATGGTCGAGTGGAGGGGAACGGACTGCGGTACAGGAGCTTCAGTTTCCTGTACACGGCCGGACTGACAGGAAGAGGAGGGGAAGGAAGAGGTACACTAAGGGACAGGGAGGGGAGAGGTACACTAAGGGACAGGGAGGAGAGGGGAAGAGAGGAGAGGGGAAGGGAGGGGAGGGGAGGGGGGATGAGAGAGGTAAACTAAGGAACAGGGAAGGGAGAGGAACACTAAATTTTCTTGAAAACACAAAAATTTATAATAATAAACATGTTCAGTTAACTAACAGTACATTAGTGTAGAAATTGTTTCTTTTTTCAAAATGGTAAATGTACAGAATATCAGTATTGGAAAGTTATCAGCTATCGGCCTGAAAATTCACAGGTTATCGGTATCGGCTCTAAAATATCAATATCGGTT